AGTTAAAAATGACAGAAGTGTGTTTGTTTTGTACAATCAGTGTCCTTCTTTGTATTTTAGCATGATGGTAGCCTATATCTTATAATAGAGTTTTATAAAACTTAGCATTCTGATTAGTTTTTACATGTTCTGACATGATTAAATGTTCTTCTGCTAATGTTGTTAAAATTAAAATCACATAAATCATGAATCAAAATTGAACATATACATAACATAAAATATAAATGAAGTGTTAAAACAATTTTATCAGGGATTATTGAATTACAATTATTTTCAAGGTAGTGAGTGTGATAGATTGGAATCATTGACGAGAAGCCACTTTGTTTGTTAACAGTAGTTTATTCACACCATGAGGAGAGAGAGAGAGGGCGGAAGTGACGAGACACTTATATACATAAACATGTAAGGGACATCACTCAAGATAACAATATAAATATAATACTAATACAGAAGAGTGAGTTCCCTTGACCTCACAATTATCTCAATCTATTACATCCCTTTACCCTTAGAACACAATAACACATCTCTCAATAGAACAATTGATAGTATCCTAAAATCACCAATTATATTGTAACATGAACACTATGGTAGATTACATCCTTACAAACAATGCACAATATGTTACAACACAATTAAAATACAAACAATGATGTCAAAGTCCTTTTGACCTTTAAAATCATAGGTCTAACTTATTTGGGACTTTGATTGTCCTGTTTGACCTTCTCAGTGGCTTTTGATTTGGTGACTCAATATTCTGACCATTTGGATTCTCTATCTCAGGAGGTCTAGGATTTAAATCATTAACTCCAGAATTTACATTTTCTGACTCTAGACAACTTGGTTCACTCATATCAACAGAACTTGGTTGTGGAACAAACTGAGTTGGTGTGAACTGTTCAGATTTGGTGGGATTGACAGATTCACACTTATTATCTGCACAAGTTATTTTTAACTGGTCTGCATGTCTACGGACAATAAGTCCATCATTTGTTTTTACTTTATAAGACACAGGTCCTGTACATTGAACAATTTGACCTGGTATCCATTTTTCCTTTCTCCCATAGTTTCTTAGATACACATTATCATTAACTGCAAATTCTCTTTCAATGAATGTTTGTCATGATTTAATGGAACTATTTTTGAATTGGCATCTGAAAGTATTATGCTATTATTCAGATCCTTAATTGACATAGATTTCTTTGATTGATCAATTTTCTCAGGTAATCTGATAGTGCTTTCCTGGTAACCAAAAATACTGTTTAAAAGTACTATTCTGGACAGTGGCGTAGGCAGGGGGGGGTTAGGGGGGGTCATAACCCCCCCCCATAGACCCCTCGGTATATATAAAAAGTATGAGGGGGGGTGCAAATCGAAAGTTTGAGGGGGGGGGTGCAAATCGAAAGTTTGAGGGGGGGGGTGCAAATCGAAAGTTTGAGGGGGGGGGGGGTGCAAATCGAAAGTTTGAGGGGGGGGTGCAAATCGAAAGTTTGTCCCCGGGTAAAAATTGGAACCCCCCCTTGAGACGATCCTGGCTACGCCACTGATTCTGGACCATATCACTTTGCAACTGTGATCCAGTATTTGAAATGGGTGTATTAAATGGCAAAAATCTTTTTTCTTTTCTTTTGATGTTACCCTTTTAGTTTCTGTAAGTGCTAATGATGTTAGCAAAGTTGTTTGATGATCACATTCCTTCTTACTAATGTATTCTCTTTAAAACATTTGAAATTGCCATATCACCATAATCATTTATTAAGTTACACATACTTTGTTTAGGCAACTCTGACTGATAATGGACTGCATCTTCTCCATCTTTTATATTATCTTCACAAAAGTTTTTATTTGTTATTTTATATGGCCTTAAGTCATCATTCACAGACTCTTCAGGCCAACCATTCTTACAGTACTCATTTACTTTTATTAAGCACTCCTCTTTTTGTGTTTCTCTTTTAATATCATTCACATTTATATTGGAGTTATCCATGATAGTGAAGAGAACAAATACATCTTCTGGTACATAGCTAAGGCTTTGGTTTTTTAAAGGTAATCTACTAAGACTATCTGCACTATTCTCAGATCCAGGTTTGTATTTCAATTCATAATTGTATGCAGTTAGTGTGATAGCCCATCTTTGAATTCTTGGTGAGGCATGCTCAGGTAGGGTTTTGTTTTCTCCAAATAAACCTAGCAATGGTTTATGATCTGTAAAGATGGTGAACTTCCTACCAAACAGAAACTTATGAAATTTCTTAACACCAAAAATGATGCCTAAGCCTTCCCTATCTAACTGAGAATAATTTTTCTCAGCCTGGTTCAAAGATCTACTGGCAAAAGCAATGGGTCTGTCACCCTTTTCATCCATGTGGGACAAGACTGCTCCTACACCATCTGGTGAAGCATCACATGTTAATATAAGTCTTTTCCCTGGGTCATAGTGAGTTAGTAAGGTGTCAGAAGACAAAGCTTCTTTTGCTGTATTAAAAGCAGTATCTTGTTGTTTACCCCAGTGCCAAGTTGCATTTTTCTGTAGCAGCTTGTACAGTGGTGATAGTTTACCAGACAGATTTCCTATGAACTTTGCATAGTAATTTATTAAGCCCAAAAAAGCTCTTAGTTGTTGGGTATTTTCAGGTTTGGGTGCTTCTTTAATGGCTTTTGTTTTCTCAGGTTGAGGTCTGATGCCTTGTTTGCTCAATATATAACCAAGAAAACTAATTTCTGTCAGCATGAATTGACATTTATCTTTGTTTATCTTTATACCTTTTTCACCAATTATTTTCAATACTTTATCAAGTGTTTTAAGATGTTCAGTGTCATTCTTACCAGTTATGTACACATTGTCAAAGTAAACACAAACATTTGGAATATCCTTAAAAATACTGTCCATGACAGCTTGGAAAATTCCAGGGCTGGATGATATGCCAAAACATAGTCTTTCATATTGGTAGAGTCCTTTATGTGTGTTTATTGTCGTATAGACTTTTGAATCTGGATGCAGTTCTAGTTGAGTGTAAGCATGACTAAAGTCTAATTCAGTGAATTTGTCTCCTCCTGCCAAATTCAAAGAAATTTCCTCAATGTTAGGAATAGGGTACCTATTTAGCTCTATTTGCTTATTCAGTGTAGTTTTATAGTCTCCACAAATTCTTATAGAACCATCCTTCTTTAACACTGGCACAATGGGCGTTGCCCAATCGGAATAGTCTACCTTCTTTATGATGCCATTAGATTCCAATCTACTTAGCTCATTTTCAATTTTATCCCTCATTGCATAAGGTGGAACTCTAGCTTTGCAGTATCTTGGATTTGTGTCTTTAATGCTTATCTTCACTGTTCTATCATTTAGTAATCCAGGATTACCAAAAACACATTTATTTTCAGATATAACTTTATCTAGTGAAGTAAGACTAGATTCTTTTGCATTGACCACTGAAAATATACTCTCCCAATTTAACTTAAGATCACTTAACCAGTTCCTACCTAGTAATGGTGGTCCATTTCCTTCAACCACAAGAAGAGGAAGTTTAACACTTTGACCATTATAACTTAATGAACCATACACTCTCCTATTACCGGAACATTGTCACCAGTGTATGTTGTTAGACACTTGTGACATGGTTGTAGAGGCACTGATCCTCCTGTGACAGAGTCAAAGTCCTTCTTTGTGATGACTGTTAGAGATGCTCCAGTGTCAAGTTGGAAGCTGATGCTCTTACCGTTGATATAAACTGGTACATTGATGGGAGCATGACTTATAGATTTCACAGAGAACAGGCTGAAATCCGGCTGCGAATCAGTTTGAGCATTTTCACTGGTAGAGTGGTTCATTGGTTGGGTTAGGTAGTCTTGGTGAGAGTTAACATAGTGCTGCCTTTGGTTGCGGTACTGTCTTGACTGGCTAGATTTAGCAACAGACGAAGACTTTGCAAAGCAGGCCTTGGCAATGTGACCTTGCTTACTGCACTTATAACAAGTTGCAGACTTGAACTTGCACCGATGAGATGCATGGGGACCTTTGCATCGATGACATTTTTGATAATTATTACTAGATTTAGATCTAGGCTTTAAACGTGCAGGCTGTTTAGCATAAGTTGAAATGCTCTGATGGGGTTGGTGTTTATTGACTAACCTGCTGTTTACTGTATGGATCTCTGAAGGTGCTAGAGATCTCGCCGCATCTGATGACTGCTGGAATGAAGTTGCAAGTTGTATTGCTTTTTCCAATGTTAGATCTGACTCGAGCAGCAACTTTCTTTGAATATCAGGGCTGTTTACACCTGTCACAAACTTTTCACATAGTCTGTCAGAAAGCGTATCGCCGAATTCACAAAATCTACTTAGATGACGTAAAGCAGCAACGTATTCTGATATTGACTCGTTTGGTTGACGAGTCCTACTGTCAAATCTAGCTCTACATAGAAACTTTGATGGGGTAGGCGCATGGTGGTCTGTTAGCAATTTGCTCAGCTCGTTAAAGCTCTTGGTAGTTAGACTAGCTGGTGCGCATAAGTCTTTTAGTAGCCTAAATTGTTGAGGCCCTATGACTGTTAACAAAACAGCTCTCTTTTTGGCTTCTATCGTCACGTCGTTAGCTTCAAGGTAAAAGCTTAACCTATCTAGGTAATCTTGAATGATTTCATCATTCGAATCAAATTCTTTTATTTGGCCATACAGCGCCATTATTCTAGAAATACTTAGCTAATATGCTCTAGCAAACCTCTTTTTTGCGTAAGTAGGTGCTCTTTCTAGTAGATTATTTATCCTTCGTCGCCAATGTGATAGATTGGAATCACTGACGAGAAGCCACATTGGTTGTTAACAGTAGTTTATTCACACCATGAGGAGAGAGAGAGAGGGCGGAAGTGACGAGACACTTATATACATAAACATGTAAGGGACATCACTCAAGATAACAATATAAATATAATACTAATACAGAAGAGTGAGTTCCCTTGACCTCACAATTATCTCAATCTATTACAGTGAGTTTTTTTAAAACCAAACTAAATTTCTTACTTTATTTAAAAACTCTTTACATTTCTTTAATGTAATTAATTACAGTTTGTTTCAATGATTTTCCTATTTCTTTCTCTTTAAGAATCTCTACAAAAAGAACGGTGCAAAAAAGTTGATCATTAATGGAAACCACTGCTACTCTGGCATAATTAATCAAATCATTAAGAATCACCAATTCTTCTCCTGATTCAAAAAGAAACTTCAAAATACAAATAGACTTTTGTTTAAGATCTTTTAGAACTTTAATCCTATTTTCAGGCTCATCAAGGAATGTATTCACTAGCTGCTTAATAATTGGTTCAAACTGCTTGTTATACTGTTCTTTAATAATAGACTGGTTCATCTGCATTAAAAGTTTGTCTCTGCCCAGTTTTGCCTGTTCAAACTGTTGCTTCGTATAACGCTTACGCGAATGATTCAGTGAGTCTATCATGTTTATAAGTTTTTCAACTTGCTTTTCGCGCTTCTTGTCATCATCAACTGTTCTTTTGTTGTTAAACAAAATAATATTTTCTCTACATTCCCTGACAAGATCTCTAAAATAACCTGTCTGCTCCGCACACCATTTCTCAAATGTTACTTCTTGATCAAAATTATCCCCACAAGTCATGATTATAATACCAAACTCTTTTAAGAAACTTTCACCGAATATTTGTTTCAGTATTGTGATTGTTTGTACTTCTTCATTTGTAAATCTGACACCAAATCGAAAAACCAACACAAAGGCATGGTATCCAGAGCTTTTTTCATCAAATATTTCTGTCATCTTGTTAATAAAAGTAAGTAGGCCTTCATTATTCTCTCTGTTGTTATCGATCCCCATTGTATCGACCACTTTAATAGTTCTCTTACCCTTGTAGATACAGGAATCTTGTTCAAAGGAAGTTGTGCAGGAATGTCTGCCTGCTGAAGTCTTGAATGATTTTTTATTGAGGATTGAGTTCCCAGTAGAGCTTTTCCCATTGCCTGTTTTTCCAATGAGTATCAAATCAATGTCTCTGTCTGATCTGAACATGTTATGACCTAGGAAAACATAAATATGCTAAAATTATATTTTACATCTTATGCATTTAAACAGCAATGTGGATAGGACCTTATACAAATGTTACTTCATGCAGTTTGATAGTATTTGTGTTCTAAGCCTACACAATTTATTTTGATATTGTACAGCAATAAAGAATAACTTAATGGAAGAAACTCTGAACACATATTTTTGTTGTTATAACTGCTCACATTTAAATATAGAGTGTAGAGATAATTATAATGTTTACAAAATTAACAGTAAGTATTGCAAGAAGCATGTTTAAAATTAGAAAAAAATCAGCTCAGACTTACAATATATATATTAGATTTGTAGCCCATATTAAATTATTACACATATAAAATACAATCATAATAATAATAATAATATGCTTTATACAATAATTAATAATACTTAATAACTTAATACTAGATTCTAGGTCTAAACTCTAAAAAGACTAACTGCCTAATTCTCTAATTCTAATACTAGTAATTTTAGTAATATACTCTAATACTAGTCTAATACTAAAGTAATAACCAAATGTTAAATTTTTAACTAGAATCTAGATCTAGAATAAATCAATTCAATCTATTTTATAGACATAGAGTATTGTATAGATTATAATATATTCTTCTACTACTTACTACTGTGTAGATCTATAGGGTAATCTATCGTTTTAGCGTAATCAATTCGGTCGTCACTAGTAATGTAGGGATAAGGTAACTAATAAATATGGCTTAAATATGAATATATTTTTGCATATTCTACTAAAATACTAAAGATAAATGAACATTAAACCACATTTAAGGGTTAAATCAATAAAATTGTCATGAAATTAAAGTTTAACAACGATGTTCCAGATACTAAATTTGCTATTAAAAACAGCGGCCATCTTAAGAAAATATTATTTTGAGTCATTTCCCTTTAATTGCTATTTGTATGGAAATGTATTGATGTTTGCTATTAAATACGTTTGTCTTGTGTTTAAATACAAAGCATGCGTTTTTTTTTAATTCTGCCCTTTAAACAATTTAATTGACTGACAATAAACATCAGTTCTAGAATTATTATTATGAGATGCAATTTTTATAGGCCTACATTCAGAAACTCCCTATTTTTATAGAGCTACCACTACATATCTAACATTTATTTAAATATTAGTTTGAGTTAATTGTTATTGCTTGTGCTATTGTTTGTTTGCTATTTTCATGCTTTTTTCCTATAATTAGTGATTTTATCATAAATGACGTGACGTTTTTTGACCTCTCTTCACCTCAACCCCCCCCCTCCCCCATTTTCGCCGTCACGAAATAGTCGTAATGTAGAAAATTACCTTTTTGCCCTGCCTGTTAAAAAGTCAAGCCATAATTCAAACGAAAAAGAATTTTTTTCAGCATTTTTGTATTAGGCGAAATACATAACGTTTCACGTTTCTTTCCTCTCCCCTTTCCCACGTAAAAACGTCGTCTCAAAACCAGTTACTCGACCCGTTAAGTGCGTGATGTCATTTATGGTAGATATCAAGTCCTAACCTCCAATATACATTTTGAACAACCTTTGTTGTCAAAATGTTGATACCAAATACCCAAAATGAGTTATATGGGGTTGTCCATAAACGATGTCACATATGCTATTCTAATGTGACGTCAATTTACGCAGGACTGCAATTTATGACCTATAATGAAGGGGTGATCGGGGGGGGGGGTGAGTGACGTCAATTACGGAAGACTTCTATAAAGCTGTGCTCAATGAAAATGAGGAACATAAAGCGTTCGTTTTCATGCATACCTTTGCTCATAACGAATGATCATAACTATTGCAAGCCTGTTGTCCTAAGCGGTGTTAAACAACCTCAGCACACCAGGCCAAAAAGGGCCTGCCACTAAATGCCTACCTACGAAAATAGGCCGCACTACATTGACCCCAAATGAAATAACTTCTGACAATAAGGCTCAAACCAACTAGCTCCTGGCAACTATATTCGACAAGAATCCAAGACAATTATTGGCTTGCAGGTAAAATTGGACAAAACAGCAAGTTTCGCGACATGGGGCATAACAAAAGATCAACCCTTAATACGACAGCAGCTAATGTAAAAAGCCAGAGCTCAGTAAAGGATTGAGTTTAATATAGAAATAGTGTTAGCAGTGGACGGTGCATTAAGAATACGGCCGTCGGCTAATGCCCGACTCCGACGATGTCTGAACATAAATTTTGTCTTTTATGAAGTGCGGAGCACCTTTAAGAGCTGAGCTTGGAAGGGGGGGGGGGGTCCCTTTTGACACCACCACTATCGCCGCTTATGTCCACATATCAATCACAAGTTTTGCGTGGAGCTTAATGGGCAGACGAAGTGTATAGGTGGGACCGGGAAATGCATTTACTGAAGCCGCTGTGTCACGGGCATTTTACAGCCGAACGTCTCAGGGCAGCAGGTTGCAGAGATTAAAAGCACGTGAATTTGTATAGTAGAGGGAGCACCGCATGCCACTGTAATAAATTAAACACCAATATAATTTACCGAACTAAAGTCATTTAGATCTATTCGTCAGGCTAAAAGTCGCTAAAGTCTCAACTCCATGTCCATAGTGTCTGTTTTGATTTTTTTAATTACGCGGTATCTGTTTCTTTAACATTAGCCTAATGACAAATGACGTCACGCGCGCCGAGAACTTGGTGACGTTGTGCTAAGTGGGGGATGAAACGGCGGGGTTGAAAAAAATGACGTATTTCTTTTTTTTAACAGACGAATAAGCGATAGATTCTAATTTTCCCACGAACTATAGGTTGAACTAGTTTTTTTTTTCTAGAGGGAGATATCAGTATATAGTGGGTGTTTTTTGTTTTTGTAATAATGGATGGTGGGGAGGGGTAAACATCGACCTCGGAACAAATAAAAAACTGATGAAAGCAGAAGGCAAAGAAAAAAAAACCATGTGGTATTCAAATGTAACTAATTAAAATTTAAAACTTTTTTTATAAACACAATAATCTTAATTCAGAAAAAGTGTAGGCCTAAGACTAATGTTTACAGACAAAATAAACAACTAGGCTTAAATGGATCACCCATAAACATTGCCGGCGCCAGGTTATTTTTTTTTTCATGCCCCCGTATTATCAGAGGCGTAGCGACCCTTCCCAGCACCCGGAGACAAGCTTACGATTTGCACACCCCCCCCCTCAAACTTTCAATATGTTTTTTCAACCCATTTGGGCGCCCCGCCCCCCCCCCTATGGACAGCGCCCCAGGCGAAGCCTAGTTCGCCTTATAGGTAGCGCCGGCCCTGTCCATAAATGACATCATACTTTTCCCGATGAATTCCCTTTCCCCCGATCGTCACTAAAAGCAAGATGATGATATCATATCGCAGTTCTACTATACCCGAACGCGTAATTACAATTTCTAACGAAAACGAATATACTGTTCATCATTTTTTAAAAAATATTTTACCCCGTCCTATATTTTGAGTCCAACGTCATTTATGAGGAATATGGACGACCTAATGATTGACAAGTTAATCAGTACAAAAGGGTTTAATAAATGTTGGACCTCCCAAAAGTTTTTGAGATCGTGGATGTACATACATGCATAGCCTTCATTTCAATTGAAATTAAAGATAAGAAGACGGCCCTCTGTCATACTTATATTAAACAAGACAGCTATATATATTAAACAACAAAGTCAACACAATATACATACGAATAGACATTTGTATCAAGGGAAACTACTCTAAATTTTATTTGGAAAGATGGCCGCTGTTTTTATCTACTAATATTTATCTCAAACACCTAGTTTAAAGTTAGTTTCATGTTATTTTTAATTGTTTTGGTCACTGATTGTTATTTTAAATCAATTATCTGTAATATTTTGTAAAATTTGACTTAAATATACGTATTTAAACAAATATATTCATCAGTTACCTCTCCCGCACATTACTACTGCAGCCGAATTGATTACGCTAAAACGATAGATTACCATACTATAGTACACTCTACACTACAACTCGGATTTATAATTTTATATTTAGCCTATTTTTTAGTATTTACCAAACCTTCTGATCTAATACTGATGTTTTTATTTTATTCAATGTTGATGCTTACACTTCGTACAAAGGTTAGTAATAATATTATAATAATGATTACAGCGCAATACCTGACAGGTTTAGTTTAATAATCAGTTTAGTGTTGTTTACTTTCAATACTTTGTTTTACCAAAGCACATTGAATGATTAATAATTAATTGGGAATACCCAATCAAACTTTGTATAAAGACTAGAACTAGATCTATAATCTATAAATATCTTGTAATAAGTAAACTGTAGCATGACTGTTAAAAATTAATCCATCAGCAATCAAATGTCACAATAAATGTTACAATATGTTTTACTTTAAATATGAAATAAAAAATACACATTGCTGAAATTGGTCACAACCTCCACATCAAAGTGTAAACATAGTCTAAGGTTTTATTTTTAGAAGGCCCCCATTTTTAACAATTATTTAACATGCATTTGGATTTTTAGAAATGGACTAAGTGTATGGGAATTCCCGAAATTATGTGACTAGTTCTGTTACTTATCATTGTAGTAGTGGACAGCAAGTCAGTATTTTATATATTTAATTATTTTCAATAAGAATAACCAATAGGTACGACTCTTTTTATTTAGGCCTACTACTTAGATTCTAAATTTTCTAGTGGTCAAACCAATCTAAGCATATTTTCACCAAAAATGTGTCACGGTAGGATTTTTTTAATTCGACATACTTATTTATTATTTTAATATTTGTCATAGTATTGCATTGTTAAATTTATTGGGGTTGATTTTTTTTAAATAGCATATTTTTGCACAAAGACTTCAGGAAAAAAGTGGGGGTGTAGCAAAGACATGTAACTTCCATCAGTATATACATGGGTGACATCAGAGTCACACACTAAAAAAGAGAAGCCAAAAGGTTACCTTAACACAAAATTGAGCACAGCCCTAATTATTAATAATTAAGCCTTAACCATTGTTTATTATTACTCAAGTGATATTTTTGTACTCTAGTTAGAAGCAGCTACTGCTAGTTGTTTCTTTTATGTTTGTTTTTACTATTTAGTTACAATAAAAGCCAAAATAATATTATCAGTATAATATGTTGCTAGGCCTATAGACCTAATTTAAAAAAAAATAAAAAATATGTTCTTCTGCTAAATATTTTGATACATAATTGAAGAGGGTTATATGAAGTAAACAAATTATATTTCAGAACAATATGAAAACTGAAATGTCCTATTTGCAACAAAGAATCTTTTACTCTTATACCGATATCGGTTTATAAATTATGATGCTTAATTGTTTCTTACTTACATTTTAGGATTTGCTAACTGTGCACTGTCATGCTGGATATGAAAGAAAGTCTACTGGAAACATAATTGTTCTAGATGCGCAGTAGAGTTGATGACTGTATTGTAAAAATGTGTGATAGAGAACTGAAGGTCAAAATAGAGAGGCAGAAAGATAATGCCATGAAAGAAACATGCAATGAAATTCTGTACATTACTAAAAGAGCTGCAGAGCTGATTTGAGTGATTATGCTGATCAGAAAGAAGTTCATCAACACCTATTAACAAGAATAACTATCTTAATCACCAAATTAAATGATTTTGATAAAGGTACTAAAGTCTTGGAGGAATCTTTGAAGTTGGCTGTTGACATGAAAATGAAACTTGAAGAAAAGTTACAAAGAATTGTAACTTTGGTGACGATGATGAAATAGCAGACTATTTTATTTTGCTAGCTATAAAAATACTTTAAATCAATGCTCCTAAATTTATGAAGAATTGTTGGGAAACATCAGCTAAATTATTGACTAATACCATTTTATGTAAAATATTAGCGTAGTAAATTCTCCTACACCTCAATTTATTATAATTATATTATTAAAAAAAACAGAATGTAAACCATATATGTAATAAAAGTATGTCATATTTAACATTCAAGATCTACTACTAGCTTAGGCAAAAATATATTGAATGAATGATGGATTGGAAACGATTATAAAAAGTTGAATTATTGTAGTCATGAAACTATTTTTTTCAGATATAGCACTGGGATTGTATATGATGCTTAACTTTTCTTTCTTACTTTGGTAATTTTTTGGTTTTTAAAAAAGCAAGCTTGGTTTAAATCATAATTTATTTCATAATAAAATAGCGGTCACCTAGAAGTGTGGCCTAAATGGAGAAGATTTACGAGAAACAAACACATTCACATATCTGGGAAGCGTGATCAATAAGGACGGGGGAGCAGACGAGGACATAAAATGCCGTATCAACAAGGCTAGACGTGCCTTCAACTCA